AACCTTTATGCCTGATTTCTGGTGGAGCCGTTCAAAACCTCTGCACAGATATTCACAAGTCACCGTGGCCCCACCTGCTGCTGTCACCTGGCCAGCAGCGACCTAAGGGGAGCAGCAGGTGAGGGCCGTGTTATTCAGCCACAAGCCTCACTTGTCTGTTTTGCACAAGGTAAGTGGGAAGTGGGGGAGGGTGGAGAAAAGGCTGCAGACAGGAAAATGCTGCAAATGTTGTCATACCTGTAGGTTTCGGCGCCCAAGTGACCGTAAGGTAGAGAACAGCTTTGCTGCCACTAAGTCAGCACTCTTGACGTGTTGAAGAATGAAGAAAATGAATTTTGTGTGTCCCCAGAGAAGATAGCCACCCCTAGAAATTCTTATGAAATAGAAACTGGTGTCAGAGCATGCTTTTACCCCACCCCCCAGAACCTGATGCGTGCTTCTTTCTCTAAACCTCTGACCTCATCTTCTGGTCAGAACAAAACCTGCACTCCCCGGATGCAGCGTTGTATCAGAATTCATTCCCAGCCACTATCTAGTCATCTTTGCACGTTTAAGTACTTTCCACTTAGAACAAGAAGCCAAATAGGCACCGGATTGTTCCTGCTGATTCATGCAAGCCTGCTTTACTTCGCAAAGAGGAGAATCCCTGACGGACTTCCAGTTGTGACAAGAGAAAGGTTAAAATCCATCAGCACCTTGGGTGCCTTTCCATAGATCCCCCTCTGATTTCATGAAGCTCCCTGTTCCCTAAGGTGACCCAGAGAGCAATGTCCGCTTTGGAAATGGAAACCATCGATGGAAATGAAGTGAAAGACACTTCATCTAAGGAATACAGAGAGCGTTCTTCTATAACTCATGGAATGGGCCTGTAGACTGCACTGGAGGGAAAAGAAAAGGGATGAAGGTCATTAAGAATCCCACGTGGTGCCAGTGCACTTTCTATGTGCGTGGACAATCATGGTCTCATCACTGCAGAGCCTCCTTTGATCGACAACAAATACAGCCAGGCTTGCAAGCCCGACCATGTCACTTTGAATTTCTGTGCATGGACTAAAGCCTAGTGCTTGTGGAGGGTTCGCTTTGATCGGTGAAGGAGTTGGATTCTACAAACCCCTCTTCTGAGGGGCAGTTTTGGTTTCTTCTGCTAAACATTTATGTATTTAAAGAGAAGTTCAATCTGTTTAGCTCCGAGCAAAGTCAGATAATACAGGATCGAAGAGTCAGAAAACTTCCACAGCCACAGGGGTCCAGCACGTAAGGGGAAAGCGTTAAGGACAAATGAAGGAAAAAAGGAGTGGTGAGGACCACAGATACTCGGGCGGTGGTGGTGGTGGCGGCAGAAGATGAAGCAGGATGGGGAGAAAGAGGAGGAGGAGAAGGAGGCAGCAGAGGGGCGAAGCTGTAATAAGAGTGAACGGTCGGGCAGACCCCACTGAGGACCAGGACCTGGGTGTGCATGCAAAATGCATTTCCTACATGCAATCACCCAAGCAGATGTGAAGGACTAAAGGAGTTCTGGGAATTGATAGCAAAGGGCCAACATGCGGAAAGGAGCCAGCTCTGCCAGGTTACCCTGCTGATCAATGCACATGGAGCCCAGACAGGATCCAACCGCCCACCACCACGGCAGCCCCAAGCCCGGCAGGCGGCATGAGGATTGGCTGGCACACAGGCCAGGACAGTGCCTGACCAAGAGGCACAGCAGGAGCCCTTGGAAACGCTGGGGCAGGTGCACCGTGACTAGGTACGAGGGCTCACCAGATCTTTGTCGCTGTCCTTTGTGAATGTCTTCTCCTTCTCATCCTCGTTCTTCGTCCAGCTGTAAGAGATCATGTAGTTCATAATAGGGGGGTGGTAGATGGTCTCTGGCTGGCTCCAGGACACTTGCAGTGCCGTCTGGTTCAGGGGCTGCACCTTCATGTGGATGGGCGGAGAGCTGCAAACTGAACACACAGCAGCGAGTTTCAGGCACTTCCCCAACGCAGGTGGCCCTCTGCTTGTGTCCCTCCATGCATTGAAATGACAGCAAAGGAAATGCCCATGCTCCCTTCACACAGATCCCTGCTACTGATATTTTACAGCGTTCCGACCCCACAGCTTTGCCCCTTTCCAGCTAAGCTACTGCAGGCAGATTGCGGACACTGACAATCCCACCCTCTATGTTGCCCCTCCTCAGAATAAGGCCATTCTCCCAGAGAACCATAACCCCATCCTCCCAGCCAAGAAATGAAATATTAAGCCAATAGCAATCTCACATACATAAGCCACACTCAACTTTCCCTCACTGTCTCCAAGATCACGTGTAGCTGTCCCTGGTCCCTTTAGCCTCTTTATTTTGTGTTGCTCAGCCTGGCCTCAAACTCCCCATCACCTTGCTGGAGCCTCCTGAGTGCTGGGATTATATGCATTCATTCACCACTATGCCTTGCTCCCTATGGTTTCTTTTGATCCAGCATAGCGAAGTGGCCTTCTTTTTTAATTTTTCAGAATAGTTTCTCAGAAGGCAGGACACGTGACTCTGTGAGTGTTCCAACTAAAACTGTAGGTGAAGCTTTAGTGTAAACTGACGGATGTAAATAAACACATATAACCCGAGAATGTAAATAATTTGAAAGGCACATACAGAAAGGGTAACCTTCTCTGGCCCAGCAATGCCCTGTGTAATTACTCTGATGCAGTACATGAGGAAAGGTCAGACTAATTTGTCTTTTCATTCTTTGTGTCTGGGAGGTTTTGGAGACGGGGTGGATCTATACCTATCTGCAGAAGGCTAAGAACCTCAAGTTACCCTTGCATGTCTGGGGAGGGTTCTTCGGGCTCTGAAACCTGGACCCCAGGAGCTCTGGGAGAGGGTACTGTGCAGGAGCAGCCCTGGCCTCTGCCCTGGTGCCAGGGGCACCCACACCCCACTGGGACAACCCCAATGTCTCCAGCTATAGACAAGTGTGCTGGTGCTGAGGCAGGTGTGTGTGAATGTATGCATGTCCCGCTCAATGTGGAAAAGTGCTGGTCTAAAAGGGGAAACAGAGATACAGCAAAGAATCCCACGTGCAGAGCTGACAGTGGCCATGAGGTAGAGCTTGAGGGAGGAGAGGGAAGGATGTGGTATTTTCCAGGTGTTTTATTTTTTTGGTACCGGGGATTAAACTTGGGTCCTTGTGCTTGCAAAGCAGGCGGCGAAACCACTAAGCTAAATCCCCAGCCCTAGGCTTTTTAGAGGATGCGTTGACTCAGGCTGTGTGTCTGGGCAAGAGAGACCTGGAATTGAAAGAAGCTGGGGGTGGGGGTGGGGCAGGGAGTCTGCAGGAGGTACCCCGAGAACAAGGACTAGGGAACTGCCGGGGCAGCTGGGGAGAGAGGCCTTGAGGCTAGGCTCACATGCTGGTTTTCTAAGGTTCAAGGATCACAACCTCAAGTCCAGCCAGGGTAATTTAGCAAGACTTTATCTCAAAGGATTTTAAAGATGGCTGGGGATGTAGCTGCACACAAAGGCTCTGGCTTCAGTCTCCAGTACAGCAAACAAACAAACAAACAAACCAAAAACACCTCCTATGAGTCCTTAGAAGCCACTAAAAGACCTGAGCCTGGAAGGAGGGAACTGAGTTATCCCTGACAAGGATCTCTCGCCCCCTGCTGGGTGCAGAAGGCCCCAGCCCAGAGGAGGGGAATCAGGAGGTGCTGTCCAGAGCCAGCTGGGGGCAGACCAGACAGGGGGTAAGAGCAGCAGGCTCCAGAGCAGGCAGGATGCAAAGTTGAGAGGTTTGTGCCAGCAAGGTAAGCAGGAGGACCTGCAGGTTTGGGCACTGGAGCTGGCGAGGAGGTCTCCGTGCTGGAGAAAACGGCTGGCTTCCTTCCCGCTGGTGTTTCCCAAATCCCCACCAGGCAGCAAGCAGCCCACCACGTACCAGGCTTTGCTATACCCAGCCAGGTCCCCAAATCAAAGGCACCCTGGAGGTGCAGGATGGTGTGCGCGCCAGGTAAGCATGTCTGTGTAAAGAAGGCTGCTGGAGGATACAGCAGGGATGGGTGCTGACAGGGAGGCACTGCTTTGTTCTTCAACTGCCAAACCACAGAGCAGCGGGACAGATATAGAAAGAAGGGACGCATTACATCACGAGGCATTCTCACTGCCCTGCAGCACCCGGGAGGCACTGCTCTGCCTGCCATGAAAATGCCACCACAGCAGGTATAACAAAGTACCTAGAGGGAGGTTTCTACAGGCTGTTGGGCGAAGTGACAGAGCACGGACACGAGGTGGCGCCAGGCTACCAGCTTTAAATCACCCCAACTTGCTAAGAGGCTGGTTTCTCAAGAAGGCGCAGGAGAAAAACCAGAAAACAGCCACCCCCCCAACCTTCCCAATACTGATAGTGAGCCAAGGAGATTTATGTACTGGGAATCTTTCATACCTCCCAGGGACACCTTCACTTCTATATCCTCCCTCATCTTTTACTATGCTTCCTTTTTCTGAAGCCATGAAGTAGAGGTGAGCTGTATGGGAATATGCATGTCTCATCAGCACTTAAATCACAGCCACATAAATAATTCTATCAACAGGAAGATGCAATCTCTAGTTATGTTTTGGAATGAAAACAGTTGGGTTTGTTTTTTTTTTTCCTGTGCGGATTAAGACGATTCGTGTCCATTTACAACATTTAAAAAAACTAGTCCAAAAAAGCAAATAGAGTTAGAAGAAAAAAAATGATTCAGAATCTCAGTGTAATTCTTGTGAACATGCTGAGGATCAACATCCAGATAGAACTCACTCTCTCCGTACCCACGTAATAGTGCACACGCACCCTGATGCGAATGCTCTGCAGACGAATTCCTTTGTAAAAGGATTAAGGATTCAGAATCTCAGTGTAATTCTTGTGAACATGCTGAGGATCAACATCCAGATAGAACTCACTCTCTCCGTACCCACGTAATAGTGCACACGCACCCTGATGCGAATGCTCTGCAGACGAATTCCTTTGTTATGCTTTACTCAGAAAGTCTTTCATGCACTTCCCGTATACATTAATAAATACATCTGGACCACTGCTTTGAGTGAAACTACAGCATGGCAGTCTCAACAAATTAGAAGACACTGAATAGTTAAGCTCAAGAAAGGCAGGCCTGGCATCTCTAGTGGGATTGACCATCAGGATGGAAATTCTTCAACCAAGAGGCGTCCGAACACCCAGTGCATGCCCCCGACTACCCATGGGAAGAGCCCGAGGCCAGAGTGGACCACAGGTCCCTCTCAGAAGTGTGGTGCAAAGAGAAATTTCTCTCCTTCTATCTCCCCTGTGATCTTCCCAGATAGAGAGCCGCTTTCTGGGCATTTGGAAGAGTTCTTCTTAGAGGACCAGGTGGACCTAGAATCGAGGCTGGCCAAGTTTTTTCTGCAAAGGGCCGGATAGTAAATATGTTCTGCTTTGGTTTCGGACAGCTCTGTCTTCTGTGTTGCAACAGTCTCTGCCTTTGAAGCACAGCTAAGCAGCAGAGTAAATAATGTAAAAATGATAAGTGTGGCTGTGCCCAGGAAAACTGTACTGCGCACAAGCAGTTTTTCTTTCAGAAGGTTTTCATGTGCCACAGAATGTCTTTTACATTTTTTTTTCCTGGTAAAATATACAAAGCTATTCTCAGCTCTTGTTACACAAAAGAGGTGGGGGGTGAGTTTCGCCCCATGGATCAGTCGTTTGCTGATTGAGGCATCTGTCACCTGCGTTCCTGACATTAGCACCGAGTTCTACCTCCATATAGACGACAGGGCTGCTCCTCTACAAAGCTCATGTTTCCCAGCACTTATGATGCCTGAATCCCACTACTGCCTTCCCTGACTGTATTTCTCAGAGTCCCACAGTAGCAGATGAGCTCCTGCCTTGGGTCTTGCTCGATGCATTACCCGAATCCACAGCAGTGGCAGCAGCAGGCAATTGGGACACGTTTGCTGAATGCATGGTATATTGGCTATCTATACAAAGAATGAAATCTCTAGTCCTTTCATGGTCCACATGGGCTGCCTGAGGCCACCCGGGATTCCACTTTCCTTCTGTTTCTCTGGCCAGCTTCACGGACGATGTGGGTGCAATGTCCCGCTTTCCTTAGTGTCACCACCTCTCAGGGCCCGGCATAGCATGCACTGACCATCTGTCCACTCTCTGTCCCTCTGAGTGGGACACATCTCCCGGCCAGGAACCAGCTCTTGATCACTAACAGCCTTGGCAGGGGCTCGGATTTCATCATGAGAACAACAGACAGGATTTTGTGGTTCTGTGTGTTGTGTGCCTGTAACACAAGCACTCTGGGAGGTTAAAGTAGGAGGATTTCAAATTTGAGGCCAGCCTGGGCAACTTAGTACGTTAGAAGACCTTGTCTAAAAAATAACAGATAGGAGCATTTTTAAATCAAAGTATATTTACAGAATACAAATGGTATCTGTACCACCAGCATCTGTATCTCAAATATTTCACCTCACCTCTTCTCCATACTTAATTTGAAATGATGGAAGGACACCAAGGTAGGAGAACTTAGGATGGTTCAATGAATCCACTTACACTGATGTGGGTGACTTACTTTAAAATAGAAAGGAGCTGGTACTTCCATGTTTTGCTCTTCACTTTGAACTGCTCACAAATGCCAGAACTTCCTATAAAAATGTCTTATTTTTAAATGCTGACAGCACTAATTCAGTTTTAAAATTACCTCAAAACAACCAGATGAATAAAGTACACTGGTACTTTCATTCAGAAACACTTGTTTGCAAACAATGTGGTTTGCACACAGAAGCATTGGGCAAAATTTTATTCTTTGTTGACTTCGCCTTGGGTGACTAACACAACTGTGGCTATCTTTTGCTGTGTTTTGTTTGTTCCATACAAACACAAACACGACCATCTTTTCCAAAATCATAGAACAAATTAAGTTCATTCTACTGTTAACAACTATTCACATATAAAAACACACAGATACTCAGCCCCACACCATGCTTATGCTAAAAGAGTTCTAGTTTCTCCAAATGATGCAAATCATATACTGATGGAGCACATTCATTTATTAACAGTCCACATTTAAATTGTATACTGATTTAAAAGAAGTATTTTATGACAAGAATACTCTCATGAAACTCTATAGATTTTTTAGGGCTACATTTCTAAGTTATTTTCAAAGGTTAGTTTTATCGCTAGACAGTACATCAGCCAGGTGGTGCTATTCAAGCAACATACTTTATACTTTCTTTTGTAAATGCATATATTTTCTCTCCTAAAATACTGTAAACTTAACTCAAAACCTGGTATAATTTTTACCTTGAAATATGCATAGGAAATGACAGCAATGCAGGATTCTGCAAGTTTTTACACTAACATCAGTCCCATTTAAGAAATGGTTTACACATGAGTACCTATGTTGTTTTATGCCCACTTATTATGTTTACCAAGTTCACAGGGGCTTAACGCTATGCAAATTTTGTTTCTCCTCCGAGCTTAGGGAATTGACAGAAAAGAGAAAATTCTCTTGATACACACATACATTGAGCAATCCATGTACAGGGCTGTTGGAGAGAGGGAGAGCGATAGAAAAGGGCGTGGGAGTGGGGTGTGAAGAAGCCAGTGCTGAACAGGAGAAAAAAGACAGCAGATGGTAGCGGCAGGAGGAAGGAATGGGTGTGAAATGTAAAAGGGAAAAACAAGAACTTCCCTAAAGGGAGTGCACACCGTTTAAAGTTACTTGTACCACGTGCTCAACTTTGCAGTATCCGATCCTTTAGTACTTCACTCCACTGGTTTTCTGAGAAGCGAAAATAAACCCTAAAACGTAATAATGCATAAAATCAAAGACTACATTTAAAGACATTTTTTATTAGGATTCATGGTTCTGACTATGGCATATTCATCCAAGAACACCACGATCAGGTAAACTCAACATATTTCACATCCCCCCCCCGCTTTTTTCTTCTCCAGAAACTAACCTTAATCGGAACTAAAAACAAACAAGCAGCTGGTACTAAGACTAGTGAACATTTTATTGTATCAACAGACAGCAAAAAATCCACTCTGTAAAATTCAACACAGGAACACCATCTCTTCTGCGTGTGCACACACACACAGACAGAAAGGCAAAGAAGTATGAGAACCAACTGGAAACTCATGGTCTTTCTTCTATTGGAAGACTGCCCAGTTCTACCATCTCTCTTCCAAACAGAAAAGTATTTTTCATGTGTGACTGCGCGGGGAAGCACCATTAAGTACCTCCACCTTACCCTGGCTACGCAGCCCTCTCTTCTGAGGAGTTGAGGACAACCCGGGTTCGTGAGTTTCCAGCAGGAGCGAGCTCACCGTGGTTAAAGCGCCCGGACCAACAAGGACAGAGGTCTAGTGAAGCGCTCTGGGGGCCGCGCAAAAGCTGGAGGCGCCTGACCTAAGGGAGGAAAAAGACAGGAAGGAGATTCCTTTCTGGGAGGAGTCTTTCCTCGGTTTTCGGAAATTAAGCCCGGGCGGTCAGTTACCGGCCCGAGCGCGGCCCGCTCGCGCCAGCAGGCAGGGCGGGCTTCCCTTCAGCACCGCGGACAGCGGGCCCCCTCACGCTCGCCCCCGAGGGGCTACTTACAGCTCCTTCAGGCTCACAGCACCGCAGGCCAAACCTCGCCGCCCGCTTTCCGGTTTCCTTTCCCCAACCGAGCCGACTCACGCAGCTCCAAGGAAATGGCGGACAGCCCAGCCGGTCACTTGTCTGTGACGGCCGC